AACTGCGGTGAAGAAGCATCAAGAATGCAACATCAGCCTCAGCATGGGGCACATATATAAATATATATATATATATATATATATATATATATATATATATATATATATATATATATGGTTGGCGGCATCCGGTTTCGGATTTGCCTGTCACTGTGGCAAGCCACAGGACGCCTGCGCCTACAGAGGGACCATGGATGGCTTGCGCTGCACCACCCACAGCTCCAACCACACACCCCATATCCAGTGTAAACCCGAAGGAATAAGACCCGGAGGCATGCGGATGGGAACCACGTTGCATCAACGGAGCCGGCACACACTCCTTCACAGGCAAACACAAGCACACTGTATTTGGGAATCAAGTGCACACAAGGCGGTGGCTGGACCGTAGTCCGCTCCACACCGACTGCATGGAACCACTCTTCGAGCCTAGCACGGCCACAAGGACCGTGCACCCCGTCCCCTCCAGCAACGACCAACTGTCTCCTAGAGCCAGTATGGACGAGGTAGTGAGTAATAGACAGGTAGGCAAATTGTCAACATGCACATCAAGCGCAGCCACATCGGGGATATCAAGCAACAGCCAATCAGTTGCAACGACATGAAATAAGATAAATCAAATAGCAATATATAAGAATGCACAACGCGAAGTTCGAAGACTTATAACCCGCAGCACAGTTATAAATAATGCAGCGTACCTACAAACGCTGCGCCGGTTCTGCCTACCTTCTCTGCAGGACCCGTCGTCGCTTCGGTGGTGGTCCCGAGTGGCCTTGCTCATGGCTAACTAGGTCTGCCTGACTCAAGCACTCGCGACCGAAGGTGCTAAAGCACCATGTGCTCGATGTTGATGGAGTACAACCTATCCGTGCTTGCCGCTTCTTCCCCGCCTGCATGAGGCCTATCTCCCGCACTTCGGCAACTGCCTTCGTGATCAGATGGCGCCATGCACGCCCATCAACCGCCTTCGATTCCCATGACCTGCAATCAAGATTAGAACGTGAGAGCCTCACATTGATCATGTCCTGATTACGTAACTTTGGTTTCCCCACATGCCGCTCCCCAATATTCAGCTGAACATAAAATAGTTGTTTCGGTATCCGCGTCGAATCCATACGGCTCACATGGCCGAGCTAACTCAGACGTCTCAGCCAAAGTATGCAGTCCACTGCACACATCTCACTTTGTCGCAACACTTTCGTATCAGCAAATTTGTCGCCCCAACCGATGCGCAAAATCCGTCGTGAACATTTTGGATGGAACCGCTCGAGATATCGCAAATCCCGACGGTAAATCGTCCACGTTTCACTGCCGTAGAGAACGGACAGCACCAAGAATTTGTAAGCCGTCAGCTTCATACCATCGGTAGGCTGATGGTTGTTCCACACTCGGTACTCAAGCTTCCCGAATGCCACCGCTGCCTTCGATACGCGGATACAAAGATCACTGTGAAGTTGCTGGTCAGTCGACATCACACTGCAAAGGTAGCAGAAGCAGGAGGCGGTTTCCAATACTTCAACACCAATGCTGATTTGCGGCAATATTGAAGATTGCACCTCTGGTGAAGACTGAAAGTGCCAGTTTTGCTTGTGTTAATGATGAGCCCGAATGTGGCCGCTGTCGAAGCCAAAGCATCAGTCATGTGCTCAACACGATCAAAGCAAGCACAAGCCGCATCAAAAGCACAAGACATCATTGCATGAAGATATATATTAAACAGAGCAGGAGCTAAGACACAGCCTTGCTTCACACCAGAGACAACTGCAAAGTCATCCGAGGTCTCTCCACTCAGCTGCACCCTAGCTCGCATACCACTGTGCAGACATTCAATTAAACTTACAAACTTACGCGGATAACCAAACTTACCCAACACCAGCCACAATGCCTCACGATTCACCGTATCAAATGCCTGGGTGAAATCAACAAAAAGCGAGTACAATGGCTGGTGTCGTTCTCTGCACTTCTCTTGCAACTGACAAGCCGCAAACACCATATCTATAGTGCTGCGACCCGAGCGAAAGCCACACTGCTCCTACGCCACGTTAGGTTCTGCAACCGGACTGACGAGGTGGTTGAGCAGGATTCGGGCAATCACTTTGCCCACATAACAGCAAGTTTATGCCACGATAATTCGTACAACATTGCTTGCTTCCTTTGCCTTTATACAGTGATAGCACAGGGCATCCCTCAGTTCAGGAGCATCCTCCTCCTCAATCCACGCGCGCTACACCAAGTGGTGCAGGGCAGTCACCAACGCCGGTCCGCCGTGTTTCAATACTTCAGGCGTCACCGGTACACTTGCCGTTTCGCGGTTGAGCAAGTGCTCTCTGCGTCCCATCCATTGTCGGCGTGTCTACAAGACTCGCCTTCACATCGTGCTGCTTCAGGACGTTCAAAGTAGGCCAGCCGATCTCTGAACGGTTGTTCGAGACAGTCAGTGTTTTCGCCAGATCGGCATTAGGTCTGAAGTCTGTGTGCAGGCAGCGCCTGAGGTACCATCGATCAGCGCCCTCAGCGGCTCCAACCTCGGTCCATACACCGCCTTCAAGTAATCAAAGCATTCCTTGTGTTGGCGGCGTTCAGCGTAGCATTCCATCTGTTTCGCCCTCACTGTCCACCATGAACCTCAATGCGACGGAGTTCTTGAGTCATTCGTCGTCAAAGTCTGCGAAACTTTCTCTTCTTCGCCAAGTTACTGGGGCCTGCCACAGGCGCAGCAAAAGCTGCTTTCTTCTCCGACCCCAATGCGCCAATCGTCGCATTGTTCTCATCAAACCAGTCAGGCCGCTTACAGTTTGAGCGCCCGATGGTCTCCTCGGCAGCAGCTGTCACCTGGTCGCGAATGTGGTGCCACAGATCGCCCACCGTGGCTATGCAGTCCACATCACACAGGTGTGCAGATATCGCCTTCTCCAGCTCAATAGGTTTCTTCACAGTACCGAGGGAGAGAAAGCTAAATTTACGCCGATTCACGGCGAGAGTGCAATACACAGATTTACGAAAATATATGTAGTTTGGTCCGTATTAATTTGTGAGACGTGTAACACTCAGCTCCACGCAGTACACGTGTCATGCGTACTTCACGCATATCACGCTGACGTACGATGACATAGTCGAGCAGGTAAACGTGACCACTCCGTGTGTCCAAGTGGCAGTCAGTGCAAACCGTGTTCGTGATCGTCAGGCTGAGTCGCACACAGGGAGAGCAGCCTGTCACCGTCCGCATTCTTTGAACCAATGCCATGCGGACCGATAACAGTGTTGCAACCCGGTGTTAAAAAAGTGGGCACATTTCCAGAATCGATGTAATTGACCAAGTTGGGCCACAGGCCTGAAGTTGGACAACCGTACTGCGTCAGCCCTTGATGCCAAATGCGAACGCTGCTCTGGCTATGACAGTGTTCAGTACAGTGATGGATAACGGTTGATCGATGATCACTGTGTTTGGGGTAATTAGGATTCGTCTTATCCTAACAAACATCTGTCCCCATCGATGCACCACGCCTAATGCGCGCGTTGAAATCACCCAGCAGAAATAGTCGCCGCTCCTTGGCAAAGATCTTAGCACGGAGAAAAGCTGAATGTAGAATTGATCACGCGTGTCATCAGGATAACACATGGTCGGACCGTACGTGCTTACAAAGGTGGCAAACTTACCTCTTCCGAATCGAGGCGAACAGTCATCAGTCTCGCGCTGATGTCCGTTGGTTCACCCACCAACTGGCCATTTAGATGGGATCTTGCAAATCCGACCCATGTTCACGTGGTGCTGTGGTGGCGTTGCCCACCTCGTAGAATGCGTAGCCATCACATGCTTCATGCAAGTTAACTTGCACAGCGAGCCGAGTCTCACTGAGCGCCGCAATATCGATGAGGTAGCGCGTCATTTCCACCGCGCCGAGTGCAGTGCGTCGCTCGGGGCGCTCACTCGAGTTGCGGTCCAGTAGTGTGAGTACCTTCCAGCACCCGATGCTGAGTGCTTTGCGTGCAGGCATACGATTGCATTGGTGGGCAATCGCAAGTGAGGTGGTAGTTATGCTTCGGAGGTTTCCTTGAGGGACTATATCCAGAGCCTCTGGATCTATAGCCTGACCCACAAGGCAGTGGGCAGCAGATACAGCTCGGGAATTTGATTGCAGAAACAGACTACGATTTGCTCGATGTCCGTCACACGCAGCCTTTGAGGTACTGGAACGATTCATATATGTTTGGCGACCGTATTAGGATAAGCACCTGCGACCACGACTAGACGCAGGTGGGTTTTGGCGGGTTTGCACCAATTTGACTAGGGGCTGTCTGTTATCCGTTACCTTTCTTTCCGAGTTTTTCAGACATAATGTCCGGCATCTGAGGATCCTTGCAATAACGGCGGATGGTATTTAATCTGCGAGTCCGATTCCCAATTCCTTGATGTTCGCGATACTCTGAACTGGATTCGGACAGGAATTCAACGCGGTACAAGGAGATCTGACGCGATTAAGTATGCTCAACGGGCGAAACTGGCAGGCACGTGACTGCGGATAGCGACGCAAGCAATCGGGTCGATGTCAACACATTCCAACTTAACGTAAACTCAATCTGACTCACTGATTCAACACTTACTTACGATATATATCTATATCATTAATCGTGCCTATCGATACCTTCGCATTCGCCAAATAATTTACTATTTCAACATGTAAACAGTTGTCACAACCACACCCCATGTCTTGGATCTCAAGAATCTAATCAGTTACATTGTCAAGAATATTTGATCAAACAGCAAGTGTCGCACATCTGCTTGTACAAAACTAATCATGGCTTCTTTGACGTACCTCGTGTAACAACGAGAAAATATATTGTTATGTTTTATATTTTAAATCTACAAATTCTGATTTTCGTGTAAAACCTGTGTCAATATGGGGATGGGCGATGCTCCGCAGCAACTGGTGTTCAGCGTCCCTACTCCGAAGGAAACAGAGCGCGCACGAACCTATAGTCAAAAGTTGGTGCAAGGATATCAAGCGATATTGTTTCACGTGAGTAAGTGGGAGTGGTGAGTTGGAAGAAAATAGCACAGAACCTCAATCAAAACGAAGTGCGTATTGGAGGATCACAATTTGCAAGATTTCCTAACAATATGGTGAATCATTCGCCATTGGATGTTTCTGTGCCCTGCGGTGTAAATATAGCGGATAACCCGGTAGGAAAACGGAAGAGAGTACAAATTATGGGTTTATCGAAATAAAGTCAAAGGGCAGTCTTTGTACACTATGTTACAAGTGTCGGTTGTAGTCGGGTCCCATCTCAAGAGGACTGGGTGGAGGGTGTTTCAACCGACATGCGTTCGGTGATAAACGGATGCTGTAACGCTTCGTTCAATGGTATTCTGCGTGTCGGATCCAAAGCCAAAATTTTGTCCAAGAGATCTCGAAATTGGGTCACCTTGCGCAGAGTCGGATCGTTGAGTTTCATGTCACTGGTCAATTCAGCCATAAGATCCCGAGTTGGTTGAAGATTTCGAATGACGGTCACTTTCTCCTGAAAAATGTACACAAGATTGGTTAATTTCCGGTAAGGTGTAGTCAAAAGAGCACATTCGTGTGAATCGTGTGTATTAACAGAGTGGCATCTTCAGGAAAGGCAATGTTTCTAGTTAAAGGGTCTAGAGAGAGAGATCAGATTGCAAATCTATTTTTTCCAAGTGAACCAAATGTGGACTAAACACTTGCAGATGAGTAAGCACCATCGCCTCTGTCTATAGTAAAGAGAAGATAATAATGGATTTACACAGATACTACATCTGGTTGAATATGTCTATGAAAATGAATTGCCAATAAAAGGTCGCCGGAAGCGGCGCAGCGAGAGCGAACAAACGCTTGCGGAGTGAGTAAGGTTGACAAAAAGAATCGGCTAACAAGCAATGGAAATAATGAGATGACAGGTCGAGTTAGAAACAGCTTGTAAGTTCCGTCTGAAGGTTTGTGGCTGAAATAAATGGCAGATCCATCTGATGCAAAATGTTTGACAAAGAATTTCCTCAAAGAAAACCAACCGGATATCAGCAGCAAGCAGCCAGAGAGCTGGATCAAAAGAAGCGTAAATATTCCATAACAAGAAAAACTACACAAAAACTAACCTTCTGTGTCACCTTGTCTACTTCGTGGTACAAAAAGTTGCATTGGTCATCAAAGTGCTGTGAACGAAACATCCCACGACGAATCACCCGATTTGGTACACGCCCCTTGACTTCCATCATCAACCGTAGCATTTCATTGTTGCTTTTCCCGGGAAACAGAATATGCCCAGTATGCAACTCGAAGAGAGTCACGGCGGTAGACCACAAATCTATGCTGTGATCATATGGGACACCTAAAACTGGGTTGGGGGAGTGAACCATGTCGGCAAGGGTATTAAATAGTCTCAAGGAGAGTGGCAAACAGAGATGGAATAAAAGTAACATGATGTTTCTATGACACAAGTAAAGTTGACTAGAATACGAAAGACTTGTGTGCGAGAGTGGTAAACCGATTGAAAAGTTGGGAAACGGAAAGAATGATAGCAGGAGGGTACTTGGATTTGTGAATAGAAATAAATATCAGAAGCACTGTGCAGATAAGTATCGAAATCTGAACTGCTCGCAACAACAGTGAAAGAGTGGGAGACTTTTTGACGAGCTCCTGGGGTTACAACCCGTCTTGCCCAAATGGAAACAAATATCCAAACCACAGATAGCGCCGTTGTACGTGACTAGGCGCGGACACAATGCAATCCGGTCAAACGGATACTCGCAGACCAACGACTTGTTAGCAACGAAGCGTTCGGTTTCCCACACGCAGTATACATGCACGACCCAGGCACTTAGGAGCAAAATAACTGTCGGTTGCTCCGGGAAGCCGCTCCCAGATACTGTTACGCTACGTACAAATGGATGACTGGCTCACCTTGGTGTTTAGTTCGCACTATTTGACCGGGGTCTTCTGAGGCGGGACAAACCCATAGTAGATAATAGAACCGAGTAAAAGCCCGATACCAAGGTGTGATACAAGTAGTCTAGGGAACTTTCTCGATATATGAAGAGATAAATGAAATATAAGTTACAAGGTGGAGAAACGGGGTACCTAGCCTGATTTCAAGAAAGATTAGCTTAGACTGCTGAACCCGATAAAACCTCGGTGCTGAACGAGCAAGCCGCTTTCGGATGCAAAAGCCAGTAGGAGAAAACGTAAAAAGATCGACAGCAACTGTGATATTTGTCGTCCAGCGGACAGTATTCGTGACAACATCCGAGGTGAAACAAACATATAGCGAAGATCCAAAGACATCGTGGAATGATGTTTCCCGGTCAAGAATGCAGCGACTTGGTTTCAAAATAGTTGAGAAAACAAAGTAACACTACGAAGATGTGGCAACACAACATGAATAGTTCGAGGAAGATCGAAAATGACAAAAGAAGAATGGCAAGGTGTGTATAAGCAAGATTACCATAGCTTGTGGCGACCGAAACACGCACACCACTTGAGCGCAAACAGCGATCCTTTGAGAACAGCCGGCAGTGCGACCACGCACGGCGGTGGAGGTGAAGCTGGTGAGTTCTCACTTTCGGACGCAGTCAGTTAATGCTGCTGACGTCACGCGAAGCGTCACCATGCGTGAGATGAAGATGGTAAAAGGGAGAGTCAGTGAAATCAACTTCAAAGTAGTGCAAAAAAAACAATATTTAAATGGAGAACACAATTAGCTCAAAAACAGAGTTACTGAACTTACTGATTTCCGGTGCGCGATAGAAGCGTGAGACAAGATACGGAGTAATGTCGTTATCCTGGATAGTAGAGGCCGAACCAAAGTCAGATAATTTGAGCAAAATTTTGTTTTCGTTGACTAGAATGTTGTCCGGTTTGATGTCAGCGTGGAGGATGCCACATTTGCGCATCAATTTAAGGGCCAGCAATAGCTGTTGCGTGTACGAGCGTATCGCCGCAATATGCAAACCGATATTGCGCCCATACTTTTTGAGCACTTCGCGAAGGTTCAGACTCATCAACTCAAAAACCATGCAAAGATGATTTTTGTGAAAGAAGTGGCGATACAACCGAAGACAATGGTAACGATCGTGTGGATCGGCATCGTTGAGCTTTTTCAGTACTTCTAACTCCTTTAAACCTGATTTGTGCCTACAATGAGACATCGAAGTTAGAACAGATGTGCAAAGTAAACGATGTAACCGACATAGCTCTAGGAGACAGATCAATCAGATCGGAATCCAGATAATCAGTGCGCGTCATTTACTGTGTGGTTCGAACGATCAGATTGAACATAACTAAGACGATAAGACTGGAGGACTAATTCAAGAAAACTACTGACAAAACGCAGGAAAAAACCACTGAAGTTGACTAGACCTATAGTGTGTGAAGCACACAAACATCAAGAAACCCAAGAATAAGGCAAAGAGCTTACATGACTTCGTTATTCCGGATTATTTTGACCGCTACCTCAAGGTTACCACGGGCACCGTCCCGCGCACGTACTACGTTGGAGAAGACTCCATGACCGGTGTAGCCGTAGACAGCGTAGCGCTTGTCCAAAACTTCCCCAATACGTACACCTAAATCATAAATACAAATGAAAAAATGCCGGACACGAACCCAAGGAGGTCATCATAGGGATATCAATGGGACAAATAAAGTGGTACACTGAGACAGACAGACATGAGTGTGTCGGGCACCATTATGAGGTCATAAAGATGCCGGAGTGTAAGGATGTACCGATACAAACAGCTAAGGAGGAAGATGAGAAACGAGCATCAAAGGAAACAGTGGGTAACCGTGTAACAAGTGTTGTAGATAGCGAAGAATTATCGTCAGATGTCAAATAAAGAAGAGACAGAACCATCGGTACAAAAAATTACGAGCTGTGTTACGGAATAGTCGGATAAACACAAGCCACAGATAATGTTAGCTAAAATAAATCTCCGACGTTGGAATGGGAACACGACAGACTATTAAGACGGTGGAAATTAAGTGTGACGTTTGCCGTCCAATATAAAGCGATTATCCATACCTGCTTTTATGGTGCTCGCATTCTGATGTAGATGTCGGTGTTATCTGCAAGTTAAATTTCAAGCCTGAAACAACCCAGATAAAGGTAAAGGCGGTAGTATGTATATGGGTGGTGAAACAAGAGATTTCGCTTCGGACTGATGCTCTACTGGAATATCGAATGAAGAGTGGCCAAAATAGCGATCGTATCGAGGGTGTCAACGACTTGTAAAAGGTGTAGTCGGACGGCGATGATAATAGTGAGAACCGAAAGGGCGACTGCACCCACGGTGCATTAGTTAAAATCTGATGTTGCTCTACAAATCACCCAAACGACAAGTAAACAATCCAAAAGAAGGGTTTTTACCACCAAGAAGGAAAACAATGGCCCAAAAGTAGATGGATGTTCAGGCAAAAAGATGGGAAAAGGTTAAGAGCGAGACAATGTAAACAAGCCATAAGAGAGTCACTAGAAGTATGAACGGTAGCTAATGGATCAGAGCTCACGAGGTGATGGTGTAGCGCCCTAGAGACAATTCCCCCTCAGCCTAGCGTCATGATTGAACTCACCATCAAGACGTGCCGGCTGAAGCAGTACTAAACAGACAGATCAGCCAGAGTAGCGACGTGTTGGCACATGGAAACGAATGACGGCTATGACGGTTAGGGTATGAATAAAGGAGTTCTGGTAACTATGACCGAAAGGTGAGGATGCACTGGAACATCTGGAATAGGAGTTAGGCACTAGCGGTGCACCAGCACTTTGTATTGGTGCACTGACAACATGTGACCACAAGTGGCTTCACCGGTGCTGAATTTCACAGCTCAAAATTTCTGATCACCGAGAGAATCGTGCATGCTGAATACAAAAATGTCGAGAGACGGAAATAAACGACAGCAAAGGTGAAGGCGATGGAAACGAAGAGTGTAGAGGGAGTGAGCACAGACGCCAAAAGCACTACTAAAGTCATGATGAAGAGAATCGGATAATGTAAGCTAGTGCGTGTCCGATCGTACGGCGCAGCCGAGTAGCCGGCTGGTGGTAGAAAGGATTGCACATCTGCGTTGTAATCCTGAGGTCAGCGATTCGGCTCCACGTAGATGCAGGCGACCTCGTGAGACTGGTGGTGGTCGCGTGGCAGTGACGCGTCGGTACGGTGAGCCGGCGTACTGCTGATGTCTTCTCTTATGCCTCTAGCAACCAAAGGCACACTCGCATTTGGATTACTGCTCTGCCCATTCGCCGTTCTATGGAAGGATTGTAAATTTCCGTTATTCATTTTCCTAGAAATTTTTCCCATGGAATTTTTGAAGGGGGTTCAACTCGGACAAGCTGTGGCAAGTGACCGAGGCTGGAGGTATTTCTTGGAAGCAGACGCATCATGTGTGGAAGTACACGCAAAACACGTGAAGTACTGCGAACGGACAGCAAGTTGGTACAAATAGAAATTGGGTGTTGCCCGCCCGAAAACAATGCACTACTATGACGCGTTTCGGTGTTAGTACATCTCATCAGATAATTAGCAGGCATGGAACGCGAGACCATTGGGATGTTACTTGTGACCGCTACCCCTAAGCTACCGGGTCACGACGGGTAACGCTTGGCACAACGGTTTAATGAACGATGTTGAAGGTCATTTTGAATAACACGTTGTGTGGATGGATTGCGACTCGCAATCTCAATGTTGGTCGTAAGTTGGTACGTTTTATGCTGGAGAATATGTTGATGGACCGAAAGAATTAGGTGCGCAAACGGTTTTTTAGCACTGAACCAAAGCCAGGGCAATACCCAGTGAAGCACAGTCAGTTATGATCATACAGACCAAATGCAGCAAACAGAAAAGTGAACGGGTAACGAATTATGGGACTGAATAAAGTCTGCAGATAGTTTATTGCGAAACTCACGGTAGTAGCCTTCTGCGTCGTCCCAGTTATCAACGAGTGCGTGATTTTCCGAGGCCATTGCTCCAAGAGCCATAGTGCCCGGAGCATCTTGAGCACTAACTTCAACTTCGTCAGCAAACATGTCAAAAGTTATGGGCTTCTTATCACCAACCTGATCTTCCACCTGACTGACCGCGAAAGGATTGTTCCTTTTCTTCCTATCACCAAGTAGAGCGCGGGCAGCCGGAGCCTCCGCACCGGATAAACGTCCACTGGGTGAATTCTCCGAATCCGCTAGTGAGATTGTAAAAGGTAAAATCAGAGGTGTGACTTGATTAGCAAAACGAATGGCAATGAGATGATGAGGCATGAATGGTGCGGATGTTTAGGCTAGCGAGGGCTGCCACAAGACCACCGAAGTGCAACTAGGAGAAAACCATGTCAGAATGCTGCGATTTGTGAAACTAACGTAAAGGAAACCAGATGACTGATGAGCAGTCCTCAAGCAGCTTGTGGCAGAAAACAACCGGAGAACAAACACAGAGGAACACATGTGGGGTAATTAAAACCGAAGACCTGCTTTGGGGAAACAGGAACAATGCTATACACAATCCAGCCAACATTAAGGCAACTTAAAAACCCATACAAGACACTGGACTCTCATACACTCAGTACAGCAAAGATGGCGGGGGACAAAATCGCACGGTTATGAATCTGTCGGAAACAGAGCAGAAAGCTGATTTAATAGAAAAACGGATGTCAACGAAATAACCACTGCAATATGAAAAGAACAAGAGCAGCTTTACTCATCAGGATGAGAATGGATCCTGATGTGGTGTGGGAGTTGGCGTATTCCCTTGACCCAGTAATCTACGATGGGTAGCCTACAAAATTCCTCAAGCTAGACAGGTCAATGGTTAAAGGTCAGACCAGCTCTTCGGAAATTGATGCCCTCTTCCTATGAAATTTAGAAAGGATAGACAATAGGTGACTGGTTATAAGCTCACAATACGATTGGCGTAGAACGCAAGTGCCTGGTATGGTCTCTGACGGTGGCAGAGCACCATTCGGTGATCAAAGGTTTGCTACCGCTCACCTTAAAGCCAGGTAGCCCGTGGTCAAATGGGTGCTAATCCGCCAACTTCTCCCTGTGTTTGGCAATATACCAGTCAAGAAATACATGTGAACTTTATAAAGGCCGTGTGTGGGTCTCGGCAACTACACTTACGAGGTGACGTTTCTCCCCGCTGCTTCGTGGTTTGGACTGTTGAGTCAAGGGCTAGAAGTAAGACACATCAAACAAAATCACACTCTCGGAACGGGCAGTCAGAGCGTATCGTCTGCTCTTTCGACAACGCCAACAATACTTTTTTGCAGCTCTCTCCTACGCCTTTCATTGAGAAAAAGACGGCCACCGGCCGCATTTATCAAATCTAAAGTCTCATCTCACATTGGTCCCAGTACCGTCAGCACTCAGTCAAACAGACAATTAGCTCACACTCTTTAATCTCTTAATGTTGATGTATGCTGTCTCCAAAAACCGCAACGTTGTGAAGAATCTTCGACTCCCTGGTTCCGAACCAGCTGACAATAATTACACTATTCGCGTCTCTGGAGATATTCACATCATGAACAGCAGTACATCAGCCATTTGAACTGATGCTTCGCTGCCATACAACCATAACGACTTATGGAACGAAGAGGGAGAGAAGGAGGACTTACCGGAAAACCTTAATGTCCTAAGCAAACATTCAGGGTAAAGGCACCTACACCTTGTGTTAACAACATACCGTCACAAACAGCTGGATAACGTGCAAACATAAGGCGGCATCAACGAGACAGCTTCATTGCGGTTTTCACTGCCCCGCATCACAAACAGCCATTATCCCGCAGATAATACAGCACCAAACACAATTTAAACAGGCAGTCCGACTAGGAGACGGCAGCAGATGCACCACTGGTGTCGACTGCGAGCCGTGTCCCGCAGTCTTGATCTAAGAACAAGACGAGCCGCGTGGACTCCAGCCTGGAAGGCGAGACGGACCAACAGCACCAAGTTCCGTCGTCAGTGACTTCATTTCACGTTATCAAGTCAACTTTTGTCCACATCGAGCCTTGCGCCACTCTACATCTCGCGGTAAGCGGTGACCGGGTATATGGAGTACGGGCCCAAGCCAACGCCAATTATTCCGTGCCACTTATCGTTCTAGGGCAATAGCTTGAGTATCACTGCCTAGCACTCGCCTAAGCACATCATCGTTGCGGATACGCTGGTGCCACCGGACACCAGCAATGTTCCGCAGACAGCGATGACCGAAGATTTGAAGGCGCCGCAGGTACCCAGATCGAAACGGCCGAGTCTCACTCCCATAGAGTAGGACGGCCCTCAGTGGCCTTGTAAACAGGGTCATTCAGACCGAGAGAAACACCTGTCATAAAAGATGTCGTAGATTCAAGAAGGCAGTTCTGGCTTTTGCAATATGTAAACTGATTTCAGTGCTTATGCGCTCACCGTTGCTGATGCAGCTGCCAAAGTGAAGTGATCAACTACCTCGAGTTCTTTGCTAGAAAGGATCAAGTCATCATCAAGTGTCTGGTGGTCTTGCTGTAATAACATTTTGAAGGTGTGAAGTGCATACCAAATAATGGGACCAATCTAGAGAGGCTATTCAGGTTGATTGTGCCACCGCAACATTGTCAAAAAGCAAGACGATATCGTCCGCATAATCAGGAACAACTATCCTTTCACTAGACAGAATCTTAACGCCTGCATCGTGAGGCTCCGCAAAGGAACACTCTATGATGGAGTCCACGACGAAAGTGAACAAAAATGAAAAAAACTAAACAATTCTGACGAACGCCACTTGTTGTCGAAAAGCATCCGACAAATCACCGTAGACCCTGACGCAACCTGTAGTGTTCGAGCATAGGGCACCTAGAATGTTCACATCGCATGGAAACACCTCTCCGCGCAAGTATTTCGAACAGAATGCATCGATCGACTGAATCAAACACGCACTTGAAGTCCAGGAATACAGCTATTGTCGGCCTGCGGTATGGTCCATGCAACTCGTTCTGGACGAAAACCTGCCTGCTCTTCCCTAATCCGAAATTCCCGTTCCAAAATGAGGCGACGAAGGAGAATGCAGGCCATCAATATTGTCACAAATGGATTTAGACTAATACCCTTTTGGTTAGACTGCCCTTCTTGTATATTGCCACTATAGTCGATTAGCCCCGGTTAGCCTTGACAGTTTCCTCCTTGCATACATGTACGAACAGAGAGGTCAGTGCTTTGCAGAGGACATCACCACGTCCTTAAGAAGTGCACGTGGGAGGGAATCCTGCCCATCAACAAGTAAACGATTGAGGGTTGTGATCGCGTTTCGGACTTCAGCCTCCGACAGAGGTGCTAAACCAATCGCTCGTGGATCATACTGCATCACCTGAGTAGGAAGAGGTTCAGAAGCAGGGGAGCAACTGAACTGACCTCGAAAGTGTTCCGCCCAACGAGTCACACGGCGCTCCTTATTGCAAATCGGAGCACCAGTGCTGTCTCTGATTGTCTCAATGACGTCTGGATTGCTGGGACCGGTGATGCGGATCAGCTGGAAGAGCTTGCAATAGTTCCCTACTACACCCGCCTCCTTTCTTACCTGAGGCCGACGGGTTCACCAGGTTTCCTTATCAGCACGCAGACTCCTTTAGTTCGCGCCTAATAGTCTGTGATCAGATTGTGCTGAGCCAGTCGGGTTTTCTTCCAGATTCCAACAGGTTCATCGATCTCTGATATCCAGTGACTGGTGCGGTGAGGATTTTTAGTACCACAAACAGATGCTTCTGCGTCGTGCATGGCAGCTGAAATTCTATTCTACTGAAGCTGTGTCATAAGGACAAGACAGCGAAAGTTCGGTACGCAATGCAGCTTGGTAGGTTTGCCTGACCGAGGGCTGAGACATTTTGTCAGTTGCCAATCGGGAGAGACGCTTGGTACACCTCCTGGTGAAGTTAATGGAGAAACGACAGCATACCAGAACATGATCAGAGTCGACGCAAATATTCCAGAGTGGCAATTCAGGATAAAACCACGCCACCTGTAACTTATGGCAATGAAATCAATGAGATCAATTTGGATCCATCACTGGCCAGTTACAGGAGAACGCCAAGTGGCACTTCGGCGCCCACTGTCTAAAAGCAGTGATACTAAGAAACAAGTGGTGCACCGCACACAGTTGTAGCAGACGCTCGCTGTTGTCAGTCCGTTCGGAGCTAAGCACATAATTACCACCTAGCTGAGCTTCTGAAGAACGCCGGCCCGTAGCCTTAAGGTAACAAGCTTGCTTTGTAATCTGACGGCGTGGGTTCGAGCCTGCGTAGGGAACAGGGCGACCCTCGCGTTGGTGGTGGTTGCACGGAAGCGACGCGTCGGTACTGCCTACCGGCGTACTGCTGATGCCTATTTTACTAGAGTTCGTAGTTTGCTCTGTTCTAGCGGTACGAGGACAGCTTATCTATTGCACTGATCAAGTTAAACGACAAGGTTTGGTAGATCCCAGCAGCGATGCATGTGAAATACACCAACCATAGTTTGCAATCTTACAAACATGGGGTAATCGACTTATGTTGAGCTGGTTTGATTAATGAGTAACGTGGTCCTCTTAAATTCGACTCAAACGTAGACAAGCGACTGCTAAATGCGACCCGCAGCTGCATCACAATATAGATAAGGAACCAGGCGAATAAACGAATCATAGACAGTCAGATAGACTTCCTATATTTTCATGGTGCGAGCTACTGTAGAGCAGCTACAGTTGAACGGATCATCTTTTTACAGGTTAAATTCAATATGTACTTCACGACCGTCTCTATGATAGCAGCTACCTCTGGTGGCAGTGCCCAATCTTCAACAAGTGCCCCCGCAAGCTTGACCAATCTAGAATCTTAGACTCATGCGCTTAGCAATTCCGACATGCTAGTGTCGAGTGGTATTCAATCAGGCACCATCAGCTGGTAGACACAAGCTAATGTCGGAAATTACCAGTATAATAGAAAAGTAAAACCCATCAACCGAAAGAAAGTTCTTCACCTATGGTAGCTCGACGCGCGACCAGCTAGATGCGACTTTCTCCCCAACTACTTATAGTACTCGCACTACAGATCAATTGCAACCAGTTAGTATCGACAGTTAATAGTGATTCGTGTTATCCGGGTACAAGATAATCGAGGGGTGTTGCCTGCTTTGAACCATTTCAGAACCGACCGATTAACTTCCCTGCTCATTCGAAAAGAACTGG